TTTTGTTCTGTTTTGTTTTGTTTGTTTTTTGCTGTAGGGCCCATGCACTCACTGGAGAGATACCAGGGGCTGGGGTTGGGGGCAGAATCACCCCTGAGGGAGGATGGCCACACCACAATCCCTTCTCCTCCATTCTCCTCTCAGTATTTGGGGCACATATGCACACGCACCTGATGTGATTTTCAAGCCACCAGATCTGGAGCTCGAACTGTGGAGTTGGCTATATGGGGTCCAGCGCTTTAACCACCATGCCACCTCTTGGTCTACAAGTTCCTTTTTTTACATGGATGTATTATAATACTCCCATGTGAGAGTCCAGCGCCTTTAACCACCACGCCACCTACCGGCTCCCTCAAATATCATATTAAACAAAACATTTTAAAGAACCACTGATCCTGGGGCCAGCAAGTGACGTGGTGGTTAACGTGTTGGTTCCCACATAGCCGACTCCATAGTTCGAGTCCCGGACCCAACAGCTTGAGAGATCACACCTAACATGTGTGTGCAGGTGCCCAAAATCCCAGTCGGAGACTGGAGGAGAAGATTGGGATGCAGCTGTCCCTCCTGTGGGGGGGTGGGGGTGCTTTCCCACACTCCCCCTCTCAGTCTCCGACAAGTGCATGCACCCTATGGCAAAAATCTAAAAGAAAACCAACCACCACCAATCCCTGTTTTCAAGGAGCTCACTCGTATGAGACCAGACAAGAAGTGCTGCTGAGGTCGGAAAGTTCTGGAAAGGCCTGGAATTTTTCCTCCCTGCACTCCTGTCTCTCCAATTTGTAACATTCAAAAACCACTGAAGCGTTGAATAAGGTCCAACGTATTTATTTAAAAACATGCATGGTTGTTAAGGTAGGAAAACAAGGCAAGTTGGAGGAATAGAGATTAAACAGAATAGAACACGGTAGGGCTGAGAGCCCCCGGAAGACGTATTTTCTGCTTTTCCTGGTGGAAATTATTAGTACAAAGAAAGGAACAACATGCCACTCCAGATCTCCTGGTCGGGAGCCCAGGACTCTCTCTCATTTTCTCACTGTGTTTCTTTTTTGTTTGTGAGGACACCCATGCACCCCACCTACAGCAGGCAGTGGATGGTCATCCTGGGGGTCGCCCAGTCACTCTGCTGTGTGACATTGCACAGAAACGAGATGTTCAGAATTCCTCTTATTAAGTGCCACCTTCCAACTCCCATCATAAAGGGCCCAACTCATGCACCCATTGTTTCTCTCTCTGTATTCATTCTTTCCTTCCGCCCGTCCATCCATCCGTCCACGCACCCACACAACTGTAATTGACACCCACCATGCTGGATGTGAAGATATGGTGGGTGAGGGAGACATGGCGTCTGCCTGCCCTCCTCAGGCGTCCATCCTTAAACCACTGCGGGATGGCGTGGAAGAGGTTCTACAAACGATTCTGGAACTCTGGAACTGTTGGCAGTGTTGTACATGGGCCACTTCTCTTCTTTCACCATCATCGTTACCATTGTGCGTGTCTACTTTTGTTTTGTTTTGTTTGCCATAGGGTTCATGTACTCACCAGAGAGAGCAGAAAGAGGGAAAGTGAGAAATCAACCCCGAGGGGGATGGCCACGCTGTAACTCCTTCTCCTCCATCCTCTTCTCAGGATGTTGGGCACACATGCCCATGTCCCAGGCATGATTTTCAAGCCGCTGGGTCTAGGACTTGAACCACCAAGTCAGCTATACAAGATCCAGCATGTAACCTCCGTGCCACCTGCTGACCCATCAGGATCAATACTGAGCAGCAAAATAAACCCCCTTCTGTATTTTATCCCAGCCGAATCTCAGCGCAAGCTTACTATATAAACCACATGAAAGAGGAATGGGTTGGGTTGAAGCCAGGACAGCCCAGTCCTGCCAGGGCGCAAGGACCTGCCCATGCTGCCTTGAAAGGCCCCCTCAGACAGCCCAGCCAGAAAGCTGCCAAGTCAGGCCCTGCCCAAGGTCTGGCATGGTCTCCTGCCCGTGGTCTGGCATGGTCTCCTACCCTGGCGCGATGTGAGTTCTTCTTCCCATGTACTCATGCCCTGGCGGGGACGGGGGCCAGGATAGATGTTTGAGCCCGGCCCCGGTGCTCTTGTGTCCTTCGTGTTAGTCCCAGAGCTCTTGTCTGTGAGCTCTAGGATGAGACCAGGGGCCCCACTCACTAGAGTCTTCTCCAACTTTGTCCCCAGACCTCTGTATTTTGTCATTCCTGTCCCAGTTGTGATGCTGAAAACAACAATGGAAACAAACCCTTCTGAAACAACCTCTCCGCTCCCTAAGAGACAGGACCCAAAAGCACGAACACGTTTGGTTAGACCTGCTTCTGCTGAACGTGGGCGGCTTGAAAGGATGCAATCGGGCTGGATTTCCTGAGCGGGGCGGGGGAGTTTCCATCCTGAATTGAGACGAGGGGCGGCTTTGCCTCTGGCAGATTTGAATCTGGGGCGCGGTTCCGGCATGAAAGCACCTCTGTGCCCATGCCTTGAGCAGCCTCTTTGTTCGGTTTCTCTTTGACTCCTTGTGGCTGTCAGGGCCCAGCGATGCCCGCCCACGTGGTCCAGTGACTTTTGCACAGAGCAAGGCCTGCATGCGTCCTCATTTGAATTATCATAAAGTGCTCTGAGCTCTTTGGTGCAGCCACACTGAAAAGGGCCTTATGCAGGGCTACCTGGTGGCACGGTGGGTAAGGTAATGGTATCCCACATGGCTGACTGCACAGTTCGAGTCCCAGACCCGACAGTTTGAGAGACATGTTGGGTACGCATGTGTGTACGCCCAGAATCTCAGAGGGAAATACCACGGGGATTGTGACATGACTGTCTCCCATGGGGGATGCGTTCTCATGTTCTCTGTTGCTCTCTCTTTCTCTCCCTGCAACAGCTTACCCCCTCTGGAAAAGAAAAGAAAAGAAAAGAGAGAAAAAGAAAAGAAAGAGACCTAGTCCTTATAATAAAACGCCTTGGTTCCAAGCTCAAAGGTCTTTGGTTTTCTGCCCACCTTCATGGCTACAACTGCCTGTGGTCCCTCTGTGTCCCTTTGTCCCTAAGACTTTCTCATTCTACTTCTCTCTCTCTTTTTTTAAAGCATTATTTTATTTAACTTTATTTATCCATTTATTTATTTATTTTCATTTGACCAGAGAGGGATAGAGCTAGAGAGAGAGAGAAAGCAAGCCACCAGATCTGGGACTCGAACCACAGTCGGCCATGTGGGAGTCCAGTGCCCTTAACCATCACGCCACCTGTTGGCCCCTCTACTTCTCTCTTATAGTGCTTTGATTGATTTCACAGTCTACTCGAAGAAGGACCAGAATGAGATTTTTAAAAGCAAATAGTTATTCCATAAACTGATAAAATGTTTACACAGGCCACATGTGGCTGAAATTGTCCAGTCTATGTCCAAGTCATGGGCCACATAATGACGTTCTGGTCAGTGATGGACCACGTGCGCCATGGCGGTCCCCATGAGATTACACCTTACAGCGTGTGTCCTGGGCTGTCCCATCTAGGCTTCCGTAAGTGTCCTCTGATCGACTGAACAAGACAAAATCCCTCTCACAGCGTATCTCAGCGTATCTGTCATCGATTCCTGTCTATAGTTGATTTGTTCCCCACAGCGTTTAAACCATTTCGAAGTCAGACGCCTTTAGACTTGACGGGTGCTTACCTATTTGCCACAGTCCCCACCATCCTCCATTGTCTGTCACCTCCTGTGCTCATGTCTATCTACTTCCTGTGCTTACGTTTTTGGCCTGGTTTTAGTCTGATCCCTTGTTGAAACCTAAGGCTTTTCCAGTCTGCTTTCTTTACTCAAGTTTTACAAAAGACCCTGCCGCTTTATGGGTGTTTACAGTCAAAGGGGAGGGGTTGTTTACATGCATTGACAGATATAAATGCAGCACTCATTTATGCAAAGCTGTTAGAGAAGGTGAGAGTTACAGCTGGGAATGGCCCCGATGCTAGCCAATCCATCTTACTAAATGACACGGGGGGTGCGTTCGATTCTGTGTGTCGTCATGAGCATCTTGTTAGGTAGTTCATTCTGGTTCATGAAGCTTTGAGCCTGCTCACAGGCTTCTTAGAGCCTTAGGGTAACTTCATAAATTAGCCTTTGGGCCAGCGGGTGGCCTCGAGGTTAAGGTGCTGGATCCCACATGGCCAACTGCACAGTTCGAGTCCCAGACCCGATGGCTTGAAAATCACACAGAGTGTGTGCGTCCCAAATCCCAAGAGGAGACTGAAGGAGAAGGGATTGCAGCATGGCTATCCCCCAGGGGATGTTTCTCACTTTCTCTTTCTCTTTTCTCTGTTTCCCTCTCTTTGTTGAGCACGCATGCCCTACAGCAAAAACTAAAATAAAAACTAATAATAAAGGCCTTTCTGACTACATAAGGGATCTTCAAAAAGCTCCTGGAATGTTCATATGATGAAAAACCTATTCAAGGCTTTTAAAGCTTTTTGCACCAATATAAACATCGACTTTTTTATTTTTTTATTTGTTAGAGAGGTTTTTGCTATAGGGCACGTGCGCTCGCCAGAAAGACAGAGAGAGACAGAGAGACAGAAAGCGAGAAATCACCCCCCAGGGGGTATGGCCACACCGCAGTCCCTTCTCCTCCATTCTCCTCTTGGGATCTTGGGCACGCACGCACACGCACCTGGCATGAGTTTAAGGCACCAGGTCCGGGACTTGAACCACGGTCACTACATGAGAGTCCAGCGACATAGCCATTATGCCAACTGCTGGTCCCTAAACATCTGCTTTAATTCTATATTTCCAGGAACTTTTTCAGCCTCCTTGTATTCTCAAGCGTCAACCTCTTCTCCTAGTTCTGTCCCTGAGCACGCGTTTCGCCACCCTCTGTCTCCACGTTATGGTTTCAGTCCTTCTCCTTTGGACCGTGGACATGTCTGCCCATAGGGCTCCCCCAGCTATTGGTACTGAAGTTGAAAGACTCTCTTCCTAAAACTCTCTCTGTTCTCCCGTTTTCCAGCAGACCTATGGAGTGACCACTCGTTTCAGACGGATCCGGATTTGCCGCCCGGCTGGAAGAGAGTCAGCGACATCGCGGGGACCTATTACTGGCACATCCCAACGGGGACGACTCAGTGGGAACGGCCGGTCGCCATCCCAGCCGATCTTCAGGGTTCTAGGAAAGGGTCCCTTAGTTCTGTAACGTCATCTCCTACCCCAGAGAACGAGGTAAAGTGGAGTGTCCTTTGTACTAGCTTAGTAGAGTGGCTATAACTTGTGCTGTCCCTGTAGACTCGTTGCTCCTGCTCCAACAACAGGTCGTCTAGGTAAGCGTTTTGATTTTCATGCACGGTGTATTTGAACCTCAGTAACGCTTCCTTTTATTCAGGAGTGGCGATCTCCATGTTTCAGGGATGTTTTCATTTTTTTAATGGCTTTTGGCCTCTTGAAACACCATTCGAGGTCTAGAAAGCAAGAAGGGCCAGTTAATGAGGAATGGTTAAGAGTCGCTGGGGCTCACTGAGGCATACCTTACTCTCCAGATAAGATCACATGGTCCTGGCTCCTTAAACTATTTACATGCAGGGACTAGCAGTTAGCATAATGGCTATGTCGCTGGACTCCCACGTAGTCGACCGCAATTCACGTCCTGGACCTGGTGGCTTAAACTCACGCCGGGCGCGTGTGCGTTCATGCCCAAGATCCCGAGAGGAGAATGGAGGAGAAGGGATTGTGGCGTGGCCATCCCCCCTGGAGGGGGGGGGTGATTTCTCGCTTTCTGTCTCTCTGTCTCTCTCTGTCTCTCTGGTGCGCGCACGCGCCCTATGGCAAAAACCTCTCCAAAATAAAAAAAAATTTACATGCAGAAGAACGATGTCTTAGCCAGACATGTTATAATTACCACGTTTTTTATCAGTCTTGGAGAGGGTGTCTTACAAGAATAACCCTTGAGAACCCTTAAATGCTTAATTTGTATTTTTTAAAAAAAGCATCTATTTACTTAGCAGAAGTGACATTGTTTTAGGGATAATTAACAACATAAATTTGTGCTACCCCTGAGGAAGACATCTGGATGTTTAAACAAAGAACTGAGCATGACAGAACTCACTGTGGCATGTATTAATGTAAAGGTCCCTGCAGTGAACCTTTGTGAATCCTGATAACAAAATATTCAGCGGGGTTCCAGTGGGCAAAGGTCATAATGAAATAATGGCGTTTTTGAGAAGCAGCGGTTTGACCCCTGATATCCAGGTTTTTCGGCCTTTTTCTGATCATAATCTTTTGTTCATTAACAAGCCCTTTTTTTGTTCCTTTGAGGACTGAATGGGTATTTGAACTGCATCTTATACGTGTAGAGTTTCTCTTCTGTTTCCCACCATGATCACCCTTCGTGTCTTAAAAAGGAGACATCTTATTTCCTAAGTCTTTGATTATTTAACTTGCTTTTCTCTGGAAGGCAGTGAGGTCTCTAGTCTAATCACAATCCTGGTGTCAGAGGCCCTTGGCAAAGCATTTACTCAGCCTTGGCTTCAGAGCCTCTGTCTTTATTATTATTATTATTATTATTATTTTTGAGAGGTTTTTCGCTGTAGGGTGCATGCGCTCGCCAGACAGACAGAGAGAGACAGAGAGACAGAAAGTGAGAAATCACCCCCCAGGGGGGATGGCCACGCCACAATCCCTTCTCCTCCATTCTCCTTCCGGGATCTTGGGCACGCACGCACATGCGCCCGGCGTGAGTTCTAAGCCACCGGGTCCAGGACGTGAACCGCGGTTGACTACATGGGAGTCCAGCGACATAGCCATTATGCTAACTGCTGGTTCCCAGAGCCTCTGTCTTTAAAGTGATAGGTTGGAGCAAGCTTTCCCCTCACTGGTAGGCAAGGGCCTTGGTTTCTCTGTTCTTGCCCTAATATCAGACCCATGCCCTGACCACTAAACCACATAGGATTTTGTTGCTTCTTACTGAGTGCCTTCGACAGCTTTGCATTGGAGCCGGGTGGTCCTACATCCTGGGCTGTTTCCGTTCAGTCATTTATTCATCTTGTGTTTGGCATGCTAGGGGATGAGAAGGAACCAAAATGCCCCAGAATGCAAGGTGGTTGGCAAAAGAGGCGTCATCTGAGGACCAACAGTTGGCATAATGGCTATGTTGCTGGACTCCCATGTATTCGGCTATGGTTTGAGTCCCAGACCTGGTGGCTTAAAGTCATGCTGGGCGCGTGTGCGTGCGTGCCCAAGATCCCCAGAGGAGAATGGAGGAGAAGGGATTGCAGTGTGGCTATCCCCCCTGGGGGTGATTTCTCTCTTTCTGTCTGTCTCTTTCTGTCTTTCTGGCGAGTGCACCCACCATATAGCAAAAACCTCTCAAAAAAAAAAAAAAAAACAAAAAAAAAAAAAAAAAAAAAAAAAAACAAAAAAAAAACAAACAAACAAAATATATATGTGTGTGTGTGTATGTATGTGTGTGTGTGTATGTATTCTATTGACTTAGTAAAAATAGCATAACCAGCAGATGGCATAACGGTTAATTGCAGAATTCCCATGTAGTAGAACATGGTTCAAATCCCAGATCTGGTAGCTTAAAACTCGTGCCAAGTGCATGTGCATGTACATGCATGCCTACAATTCTGAGAGGAGGGAACCAGCAGTTAGCGTCATGGCTGTCGCTGGACTCCCACGTAGTCAACCGTGGTTCGCGTCCCGGACCCGGTGGCTTAAACTCATGCCGGGCACGTGTGCGTGCGTGCCCACGATCCCGAGAGGAGAACGGAGGAGAAAGGATTGCAGCGTGACCATCCCCCCTGGGGGGTGATTTCTCGCTTTCTGTCTCTCTGTCTCTCTCTGTCTGTCTGGCGAGTGCATGCGCCCTTTAGCGAAAACCTCTCAAAAAAGAAAAAAAATTCTGAGCAGAGAATGAAGGAGAAGAGACTGTGATGCGGCTATCCCCCCAGAGGGTGATTTCTCACCTTCTGTCTCTTTGTCTCTCCGGTGTGTGCACGTGCACTATAGTGAAAACTACTCCCACAAAAAGATGAATGATCTTCCTGTCCCAGCCCCATTGCATCCTGAGATTCCTCCCCGTACCCCCAGGCGCCCCCTGAAGACCAGGCCAGCCAGGACCGCCTGCTGCTTTCACAGGGCACGGACACTTTCGCTCCTCATCTGTGGCTTTTTTCTCTGGACATCTCTGGGAGGGCTTCATTCCTTATTCCAATGCTTTATCCACCTTCTCCAGCAGAGCGCCCTGCAACCAGAGAATGCCAGGGTGAAAGGGGCCATCGATGGCACAGACAGGGAAGTGGAGGCACGGAGAGGTCAGCGACCAGCTGCTGCCCTGGGTCTAGAACACCGTGTTTGGAACCTCTCAGAGCCCTCTCGCTTGGCTTTCCTGGGTTTGGGGTTTCAGCCTACTCCAAATGCACCTTCTCCCAGACCTGAGGAGCCTAGACTAACCTCAAGATGCAGTTCCTGGGCCAGGAGTCTCATGTCCCTGTACTTGGAAGAAATGAGGTTCCTCTTAAAGGGGGCCTGCTGAGCTGAGGCTGGTATCCTGAGGCTGACAGGGCTTGGGTTTTTACAGGCTTTAAAAAAACAGATAGTAGGGACCAGCAGATAGCATAATGGCTATGTCGCTGGACTCCCATGTAGTTGACCACAATTCAAGTCCCGGACCCGATGGCTTAAACTCACGCCGGGCGCGTGTGCGTGCGTGCCCAAGATCCCGAGAGGAGAATGGAGGAGAAGGGATTGCAGCGTGGCCATCCCCCCTGGGGGGTGATTTCTTGCTTTCTGTCTCTCTGTCTCTCTCTGTCTGGTGAGCGCACGTGCCCTATAGCAAAAACGTCTCAAAAAAGTAAAACAAAAATAGATAGTAGACTTGTGTTTCCCTGTTTTCTGAAGCAGGCCACCACAGTGGGCAGCCAGCCTGAGTGAGCTGTCAGGTAGCGGGGTTAGTCTCTGTCCCTGAGCCCCCCTCAGGTGCCTGCTTCTGCCTGTTCTTCCCACTCGCCATGTCTTCCTCCTCCGCACTCCCATCTTCCACTCAGGGCTCTGCCCAGGCTCTGAGGGCTGCCCCCTCACCTCCTCTCACTGCCATCACGATTTATTGTGGTTTTCAGGGTATTTTGTATAAACATCACCTCTCTTGAACCTCTCAAGACTCTCATGTGATAGACAAGAGAGCTCATGTGTCCCCCACTTAAGGAAAGTGGTAACTGAGGCTCGGGGAGTCGTGCAGCTACCAGCTGGTGTTAGCGTGGGGTGCAGCGGCCCCCGACTCGGCCATGTGCTCGCCACTCCTCCTGATTCCACGCCTCTCTCCTGCTGCCAGCACGTCGACAAAGCCTGTCTCTCTACACAGCTTTGTTCGTGGATGTGTGTTGTTAGAAGTTTCAGAGAGAGACTCGGGTGTGTCCAGCACTTGGGTAGACCCATGGGGTAGTCTTCAGGTCAACCTTTCTGTTGCTCCTGGAGGCCACATAGTCCCCTTGCTTATAAGGCCGTCCATTAAGTCAGAACCAAGCAGGTTTTAAAGGCAGTAAAGGGGCCAGCAGGGGGCGTAGACGTTACAGTGCTGAGCTCCCATACGGCCGACTACAGTTCAAGGCCCCAGTGGCTTGAGAATTATGTCAGGCATGTGTGTGTACGTGCCCCAAATCCTGAGACAAGAATGGAGGAGAAGGGATTTTGGTGTGGCCATCCCCACCCCCCGCCCGAAGGTGTTTCTCAGTTTCCCTCTCATTCTCTATTTCTCTCCAGTAAGCACGCTCGCTCTATGGCAAAAAAAAACTTTAAAAAAAAAAAAAGGCAATAAAAATTATAATGACAGGGACCAACAGTTGGCGTAATGGCTTTGTCGCTGGACTCCCATGCAGTCGACCGCAGTTTGAGTCCCGGAGCCGGTGGCTTAAACTCATGCCGGGCGCATGTGCGAGCGTGCCCAAGATCCCGAGAGGAGAATGGAGAAGAAGGGATTGCGGTGTGGCCGTCCCCTTGCGGGGGGTGATTTCTCGCTTTCTGTCCCATGCACCCTATAGCAAAATCCTCTCAAAAAAAAAAAAAAAATTATGATGACAAAGGGGTGAGCAGGTTGGGAGAAGAGGATTGAGAGAGTTAGGAAAAGATCCACCATGCCATTACCCAGATGCAGAGATGCTGCACTGCCATTAAACCAGACGCACCGAGAGCCATCCACTACTCCCAGTGCCAAGCTAACGCCTCGGCCCGTTACTGCTTCTAAAACCCCACACCTCTGGTACAACCCTCATCATGCCCATTCTGACAGCACTGAGCACAGAGAGGTTAAGGAGCTCGCTCAGGCATACACAGCGGATCCATGGTGGGTCGACCGTCAACGCTGGTCTGCTGCCCCCTACTTCCACTCTGTGCTTCGTGACAGACATACAAGGTATTTATTGCATGTCAGAGAGGGCTGGACGCTCTGGAGTCTCTTCCTCCCACCCCGAGAGAGTTCTGTCCCATACAGAGGCTTCTAGAATGTGATTTATTTTAGTAACATTGTCTCAGGTGCTAATGACACTTGCAGAGAACGAAGGATTTCTCTTAACAGCATTTCTTTGATCCTTCAATAGAATCGTATTTCAGCTCATTTTGCGACATGAGAGAGAACAGTGTTAAGGGAGAGAAGAAACTCGTAAGATGTCATGTTCGAAATGCATCTTTTATCCAGTTCTTTCCTGAGCTGGCTTTTAAAAAAAAATCAAATAAATAAGTGCCAAATCTGTTGACTTCACCGAAGTTTAGGACGGAAGTCTCCCTTACAGTTTGGAGATTTTACATTTCACGTTCCAAAGTTCCCTCGCCAAGTGTGAAGCGCATCGACTAATGTTTCCACCGCAGATGCCAACAGTATTTTTGCAAGTTTATAAACCGGCCAGGAAGCATTTGCTGCTGAAATTTGGCACACGGGGCTCTTCCCCCTCCCCCAAACTGTTTATTGGTTCCGAATTACCTCCTAGATGACTTGGATGTCGAAATCGAGCGAGAAGAAAGAGCCACACAAATTATTTTTATGAATAACTGTGGGCCCGTAGCCAAGTCTTTCTTCTGATCTTTTCAAGGGAAGTTGTTTCTGGGCTTCAGAAGAGAATGCGGAAACAGTGGATCTAAGGCAGGGAGGGTGAATCGTCTTCACACTGCGACCCCTTCTTGGTGGGCGGTCACCCTGTGCTTGGGGACCTGCTCATGGCCTCCATGGGTGCCCTGAGCAGCTAACTCCGCAGAGGACCAACACAGATGCCCCCTGGACCCGGCTGTTCTATCATCACTGTCCTTTCTTTATTTTTTTAAAGAATTAAATTTTATTTATTATTGTCATTAGCATTATTATTCAACATGCTATAGGACTCATGTGCTTACCAGAGGGGTGGGGGGAACGAGAAAGCAAGCCCCCAGTTCTGGGACCTGAACTGTGGTCGACCATGTGGGAGTCCAGCGCCCTAACCCCCAGGCCACTTACTGACCCTACTGCACTTCTTGACCCAGTCAAGTAATCATGATGTTTCAGGGCCAAAAAAGAACCTTGGAGAAGGGCCTAGTGAATGTTAGGGCAGGATTCTTGGGCTGTGAGCCGAGAGCAGCCTGGAGGCCATTCTGGGCTTGTAAAACACAGTGACCCCTGGGCCCCACCTCAGGCCACTGAAGCAGGCTCTCTGCCCTTACCTAACCTTTCTAGGGGTTGCATGCTAAGGATAAGCGGTCTTCAAAAAGTTCATGGAGGGGCGAGCAGGTGGTGTGCTGTGTAAGGCACTAAACTCCCACATGGCTGACCACAGTTCAAGTCCTGGGCCCAGTGGCTTCAGAATCAGGTCAGGCATCTGTGTGTGTGCATGTGTGTGTGTGTGTGTGTGTGCGTGTGTGTGTGTGGAGGAGAAGGGATCGTAGTACAACAGTCCCCCTGGGGGTGGTTTCTCACTTTCCCTCTGTCTCTCTCCAGAACACATGCTCCCTATGGCAAAAATCATTAAAAAAATAAATAAATAAAAGTTCATGGAAAATCATATTACGAGGGAAAAAAACTATGCATGGGCTTTTTTACACCAAAATAAACTGTACTTTAATTCTGTTGTTTTTTTTTTTTCATTTTTTGGAGAGGTTTTTGCTATAGGGCGTGTGTGCTCTCCAGACAGACAGAGACAGAGAGACAGAAAGCGAGAAATCACCCCCCAGGAGGGATGGCCACGCCGCAATCCCTTCTCCTCCATTCTCCTCTCAGGATCTTGGGCACACACGCACACGTGCCCGGCATGAGTTTAAGCCACCGGATCTAGGACTCGAACCGCAGTCGACTGTGTGGGAGTCCAGCGACATAGCCATTATGCTAACTGCTGGTCCCAATTCCGTTTTTTAAAAAAATATTTTAAAGCCTCTTCCTAAACAGCCGATCTTTAGTGACTAGTCCCCCGTGGGTATTTATGTGTCCCTTCATCTTAAGTCCCTAGTCTCAGCCTAGCATCTCCCAGGGGCTATGCCTCTCCTCCCCCAACCCAGAAGCCCTGATCCCACTGCATCCCTCAGCAGTCTTGTCACTTAGAGCTCGTCACTCGCCCTGCGGAAGCTCCTTGGGTGTTGGGCCTGCTCCCCGAGGTCCCCAACACCTGGCATATTCCTGGAATGTAGTGGAATCCCGCGTGTTTGCTGGTTGGAGGGGTAAACCAGCCTCATATTCCGGAGAGCTGCAGGCTGCTGCAGCTAAGCCAGCACCGGGCGCCGGGATACCTGCCCACTCTCGATTGTGCAACCTACTTGCTGTTGCTACTCATGGAGGGTGGGTTTAATTGCATTTGTTTTTCATCTGCTCGTGAGTTTGATTTTTAAACTGTTCTGGCTTGTGCCTGTGTGATCAACCAAAATGCTTTCTTCTTTGATGGTCATGCATGCACTAAAACCTCAGAGAGCATTTTTTTAAAGACAGAGAAATAATATATATGCATACATAGGTGACACAAGGCTCATCAGCCCTCCCTGACGACTTGGAATCCAGAGTTCTGGGTTTACTGCCGCTGTCATCAAGGTCCCCCACCAAGGCTCAAGTCTTGACGGACAGGATAGGAATGTGTAATTTATAGCACCGCGAAGCCTCCTAACCTTCTTCCTCCATGGAAAGAGAGTAGAGGATGAGGAAGCTGTCATTTCCAGGACCCCTTGGGCCAGTCGGTCCCTGTGCTGAGAACTGGCGTTCTTGGTCTTGCTTTAGCCACACTCAGACGGGAGTTAGCCGTGTTCGATTATGAGAGAACTGAAGTCACAGGGCACATGGAAGCAGAGGCAGGATTTGAACCCTGGCCTGCCAGTTGGCTACATCCACTGCAAAACTTCTGACATGTACACAGACATGATTTGATTCTAGCTTCTGTCAGAACCACTGTGGAACTTTCCAGGGCTTTTTCCTCCCAACCCAGGTCTCAGCAGGTCCCACCTCCCAGTCTTAACATTCTGGTTGCACTTTGATCCCACTTCTTAGAGATTTTCTTAGCAGCCCACCATAGTCTAATCCATTCTGCTCTAACAGAATAGCACAGCCTGGGTAACTTACAAGGAGCAGAAACGTATCAGCCCACAACTCTGGAAGCTGAGCAGTCCAAGTTTGAGGGGCCACATCTAGGGAAGACCTTCTGGTCGCCTTTTTTTTTGAAGAGGTTTTTTGCTACAGGGTGTGTGCAATCACCAGAAAGACAGAGAGAGACAGAGAGACAGAAAGCAAGAAATCACCCCCCAGGGGGGACGGTCGCACCACAATCCCTTCTCCATTCTCCTCCTGGGATCCTGGGCATGCACGCACATGCACCTGGTGTGAGTTTAAACCTCCAGGTCCGGGACTTGAACCGCAGTTGACCACATGCAAGTCCAGCGACATAGCCATTATGCTAACTGCTGGCCCCTGTCGTCAGTGGCTTTAACAATTGCACTAACATTCTAAGTAGACGTTATGGGCCAGTCAATACTCACTTCTCACTTTCCAAGAACTTCAGTTGAACAGTTTCCATTGTTTATTTATTCCCTAAAGAAAAAAAATTTGCCTGACAAGTCAGTAAAATTAATTCATTAGAGCCCCTTGGGGTTCTACCAGGTTCATCTATTTCCTCCAATCATCCATGAGAAATATTTGAATATTCACCCCACAAAGTACAGAGAGAAGGCGTTTCCTCACTGCCCCAAGTGGATGGAAGGAGTTGTTTCAGAGTTGAAAATGTTAGCAAGAGGTCCCCTAGCGAGGCAGGGCTTCTCCCTTTTACCATAATTACATTTACAAACTCATTTTGTGGTCAAGTGTTAGTTTGTGAAGAGGCTTATGTACAACGAAGAAGAATTTGTATGAATGTGAGTCATTCGGGTTCAATCCTTTAAGCGCTATTTGGGGTTGGGTTCACTGTCAGCAAAATGCCAGTCAGGACTCCTTCCTAACCCTTGTTCTCCTACATTCTCCCTTTTTTACTTTAAAATAAAAATAACTTGATGCCCAACTTTCCATGCCCCGAACGATGGGCATTTCCCATGATTTTCCAAACCAGCACCTAACAGTCTTCATTCCATTCCGGGTCATTTATAGTGGGAAAAAGGCGACTTTGGAAAGAGGTGTGCTAGTCATTTTGCAGTGGGAAGCGTGTTTGCGTTTTAGACCGCGTTTAGAAATAACTTCACTGTCTGCTGCTAATACTGTCTGGTCACTTGTTTTGGTAAGTGGTTACAGCCTCCCTTCTCCCTGGAGCTTAGCCTTCAGGTGCTATTCCAGACTTAGAGAAAGTGAGCTCAGAGTTACTGTGAGAGTTAATTTGTTCCCTAACCCATCCTTTGAATATCAATGCTAACAACAGTGTCTTGTGTTTTGTTTTTTGTTTTTTTTTAATTCTTTTTTTTTCTGTTATTTTTCCTTTAAATCAATGTGCTTTTTCCCATGTGAATAATTACATGTCTAGAAACAGCCATGGAGTGATTTTGCTGTTCTGAATGGGGGAAAGATTAATAGTGACATTTGGAAGGCAAGTATCGTGTCAGATTTCAGCTCATTTAATATTTTTTTTTTCCTTTCTGCATGGCTGTGGCTGTATATTTTTCTTCTTCGTGAACATCATATGCACTCTGCAGGGACGGAGCGATGGGGCTTCTTGCGAGGGGCCTTCAGCTCACACTCATGTTGCCTTTCTGTGGTGTCCCCTGTTGTGAATGACCCCGCTGACTGCCCCAGGGCTCCTGTTGTTCTGTGCAAACAGGCGCCTGCTCGGAGTCAGCAGCTCCCAGAAGCCCTTGCATGCGTTTCCTGCCTCAGCTCACGTCCACTCTCTGCCTCTTACCGGGAGGGCCTCTCTCCCCTTTGCTATGACGCAATGCCCTGGCCCCCGCCCATCACGCAGTAACAGGGCTCTGTTTTTCTCTAGGATTTGCACGCCGCCACAGTGAACCCAGACCCCAGTTTAAAAGAGTTTGAAGGAGCAACACTACGCTACGCTTCTTTGAAACTCAGGTAAGATGTCGAAGGGTCTGCGTCAGGCGTGGCCCTGTGCCACTGGAGTGCGGTAGGATTCTAAGTCCCGTGTCCTGTTTTTCTTTCTAGAAACCCTCCACATGCTGATGATGACGACTCTGGTAGCATCAACAGTGACCCAGAGGCCAAGGTGGGTAAGAAATGTGATTTCAACGCCCAGCTTGGATTCTGGCCTCAAAGGAATGAATGTGTGATTGCTTCAAAATGTTAAGCCTTTTTAAAATATAAAGAACAATCGTCTTGGGGGGGAGGGACAATAGCAATTACTGACTTTGGATCACGACCCAGTTCGTATAAATCATCGAGTTATAGTTGAAGAGATTTTCATAACGTCCGCATTCTGCCTGTGTCTTAACTATATCAGCTCTTTGTCCAATGTCACATGTCAAGATTATTTTCAAATGGGTGGGCTTCAGAAGCCCTGAACTATAATCCCAGGTTCTGTCTTGTAGAGCAATGGGAGGGAGGTTGAACAGGTGAGGTTCAAGACCCCTCATGCCCACCTCCGAGGCCAGAGCAGCCTCACACCTGTGTGAGGGGCACCTGCTTTGCCTTCCCTGTCATAAACACAGGTTCGGTGCAAAGGTTTCATAAGGGAACGTGAGGGTAGACTTGTCTCCCTTTGCTTCGACTTTTACTGGGGTACCCACAAAGCCAGCTTTGTGGGCACATGGGCAGAACACTTGCTGGTACTCAGCCCTCATGACATGGGAATTTGGGTTGGTTAGGCCCAACCCCAATGCCAAATCTGGAACCACAAGTTGACCAGGTTCTTGTCTCACACTCCTGACGAATTAGAGACATGGACACAGGGAAGGGATAGTAAAGCAGAGAGTTAATTGAAGGAGAGGGAAGGGAAAAGGAAAACAAAGCTCCCAAGAAGGAAGGGGTCCTGAAATGGGTTGCCGCCAGGTGTTTTGGGTCTTGGGTTTACATCCCAGCTGGGAGAGACCCGTGCATGCGTTTTCTGGTGACAGAGGACCTGTGTCCCATAGGTTATGCTGTATCTTAGAGTGGTCTCATAGTATTGCAACTGTCCATCATGGTGACTGATTTGGTAACTTGTCTGTTCAAAGACTTTTGCTTTTGCTTTGGAAAAGTCATTATTTCTGTTAATTTGGGGGGGTCTGGTGCTATGAATCTTGGAACTTATTCCTCACCATGCCGCATTCTGGTCTTTGCGATAAAACCTTTACATTATCTTTGTGCTCCATGCTATGTCAGTGGGCTTCTCAACTTTTATATAATTAAGTCCTATAGCAAGGGGCCATAAATTTGTTTTTTTTAAAGACTTATTTATTTCATTTTATTTATCATCATCCTTATTATTATTCGTTTGCTAAAGGGCATGCATGCTCACCAGAGAGAGACAGAGAGAGAGAGAAAGTGAGAAAATAAGCCACTAGGTCTGGGACTCAAAGCATGGTCAGTCATGTGGGAGTCCAGCACCTTAACCACCACACCACCTGCCAGCTCCGGGGCCATAAATTCTTAAGAAATCAGACTTACATGACTAAAGGCAAAGAAGTCTGGCGTCTGGGAGAGAAAATTAACAAGAGGAAAAAATTTATTAAGAAAAAGCTACACAGCACAGTGGCTCTCTTCTTGGGGGTCCCTGTCCTGTCTACCTACAAATGGGGTCTAACTCCTTTCTCACCACGATGGAACACTCTCCCGTCCTCTTGAGCACCTCCTCTCTCTTCCCCTCCCCTCCTTGCACCATGTGTCAGGGGAAAGAAGAATCTTTCTAGATCCTTTCTATTTGTTCGGAATCCCAAAGCAGATCTGCATGACGAATACAATAGCAGTTTTCCTGAGCAGTAGTTAAGTGGGAACACGATGCAGGTTCCAAACCTTGACTCCTTTATCTGGAACTACCTTATTGCTGGTAAGTTCTGTAAGACTCTCAGGGCTGCCAGTGAAATCTCTACTGCTCCTGGGCAACTCGGCTTCGTTCTGAGCACAGCCTGCTAGCTAAGATCATGGCCACTCTAGAGCCAGCGGGATTCTGACCAAGTCCTCGGGCTGCTGCTAACATGCTGGTCTTTAAAGTTAAGTTTTATGCCAAGGAATGGAGAGAGAGAAACAGGAAGGTGGGCTGTGAATAATTTGCTTTGGGAACCAGCAGTTAGCGTAATGGCTATGTCGCTGGACTCCCACGTAGTCGACCGCGGTTCGTGTCCCGGACCCGGTGGCTTAAAACTCATGCCGGGCACATGTGCGTGCGTGCACAAGATCCCGAGAGGAGAATGGAGGAGAAGGGATTGCAGCGTGACCATCCCCCCTGGGGGGGTGATTTCTCGCTTTCTGTCTCTATGTCTCTCTCTGTCTGTCTGGCGAGCGCACGCACCCTACAGTGAAAATCTCTCCAAAAAAAAAAAAAAATTTGCTTTGCTACCAGGTGTTTTACAAGGTCTGTAGGCAAAGACCGGGGAGGAGGGACAAGCATTGGCAGCTCTGTCCCCCCTACTGAGGGCTGGGCAGTGATATCTGTGAAGCCAGAGTGTGAGGTTGACAGGAGTGGGTGAGGAGGGTAGTGCGTGAAATCAAGATAGAATTGGTAACAGGAATAGACGACTAGGTAAATTATACCCAAGCCAGTGGGTTGGGCTTTCTCTTTTTCGCTCACTGCACATCGTAATGCTTACAGAATTCCGTATCTGTCAGCTTTCTATATTGCTAGTGTGTCTGTTCCAACACCTGGTATGAATTTGTGTTAATAAGGAGGCACAACTTTGCTCTCCATTGCTAAAGCTGTGCTAAGTTCCAAACAAAAAAAGGCCTTATTGTATTATTTATTTCTATCCTACTTTGTTCCATGAGAGGTCCGAGAAGGTTTATGTTCTAGACAGACAGAGAGAGACAGAGAGACAGAAAGCGAGAAATCACCCCCTGGCGGGGAAGGCCACGCCACAATTCCTTCTCCTCCATTCCCCTCTCAGGATCTTGGGCATGCACGCACACGTGCCCAGCGTTAGTTTAAGTCACCAGGTCTGGGACTCGAACCGTGGTCAACTACATGGGAGTTCAGTGACATGGCCATTACGCTAACTGCTGGTCCCTGTTTTTTTATAATTTTTAAAGAAGTTGGTGAGTGTAGACTTAGCTACAGTGAAGCCACTTTGCAGGAGCTCCCCTCCCCCAGCAAGGTTCCTGCCCGTTTAATACCACCAGGGCCTAGAGCCAGCATCCCTGAAGACAGCTGGCAAGACTAGGTTTTCGGGGCCTGTGCTCCTCTGCAGGCATAAGTCACTTACAATCGAAAAGCCTTTTTACATTCTTTCTGTCTGAGTGTGCTCCGCCCAAAATAAGCAGAAACTATCCTTTCTTTAAAAAGTAATATTTAATTTCATGTACTATGGAATTCTAAATATAATCTGTGAGGCATGAGTACCATGAAAGTTATTATAGGAAATGTCTCCTTTACTCCCAAAATGAAACTTACACATGCTGAAAAAATAAAAATCCTTCTTAGACAACTAGGATGTGGGCACTTCCAGATCCTGTCCAGCCACTTCGAATCTGTACACCTGCTAACCAGTTGTTCAGCGAGACCGAGGAACCACACAGCAAGAAGGGACCACACAGGTGTGCACACGCGTGTGCACACGGTCCCCAAAGAGCAGGCTATTTTTATAACAGAGTGTGCTTTTCCAGCCTCCCAAGTCTGGTACACAGTCATAGTTTTCTGTAGTTGAAGGTAATATGTGTGTGTGTATGTATAATCCTAAGCTCTTTTAACTTTTTCAAAAAATATTTTAATTAGTGTATTTAAACCATTACTTCTTCACGAACTTTTCTCTTCTTATAAAAGAATTATTTTATTTAACTTTATTTATTTACTTATTTTTCATTTGACCAGAGAGGAACAGAGTGAGAGAGAGAGAGAAAGTGGGAAAGCAAGCTGCCAGGCCTGGGACTTGAACCACAGTCAGCCATGTGGGAGTTCAGCACCCTTAACCAGCATACCACCTGCCGGCCCCTAATTAATCAATTTTTAATTTGCTATAGGGCATGTGTGCTCACCAGAGAGAGACAGACGTTGGGTGAGGGGAATAAGAAATCACCCCCAGGGGTGATGGCCACTCTGCAGTCCCTTCTCTTCCATTCTCGTCTTGGGATTTGGGGCACACACACACACACCCCCACACACACAGCATGTTTCCCAACCCTCCAGGTCTGGGACTCGAACCACCCAGCTGGACATGTGGGATCCAGTGCCTTAACCTCCCTGCCACCTGCTGCCGCACCTCTTTTTTATTCTCATTTTTCTGTGTATTTTCAGTAAAATTCTTATTTTGGAAAAACATTAGATATATTAAAAAGTTACAAAGATTGTATGGAATTCTGGTATCCCCTTTGCCCAATTTTTTCTGATTTATATATTTTATACAGCCAGGACAGTTTTGACAAAACGAAGACACGCACGTTGGTCCGTGGCCCAGCCATGAGGCCAGTGGCAGGGCGGCAGCACTGCCATGCAGGGAGCCCCTTAGAAGACCGAGGTTCGGTTCAAGGTTGACCTCTCCACAGTGAGCCCTGGAGACCTGCTGTGACTGTAGCTGTCCGGGAAATGGGGGATCATGGCAGGAGACTCTGCTGAGACCCTTCCTCCTCCTCTCTGTCTCTGTCAGGAAAGAAATAAACATAAAGAAAAAAGAAACCTTTAAAATAAAGGAAATTAACAATGATCTAAGACTATTAACTAAACACTTTATTTTGGGGGCCAGCATATGGCATAGCGGTTACCTCGTTGGACTCCCACATGGCTGACCACGGTTCGAGTCTCGGACATAGAGGCTTTAAACTCTACCATCCCCCCTTGGGGAGTGATTTCTCACTTTCCCTCTCACCGTGTCTGTCTGTCTGTCTCTCTCCCTAGTGAGCACATGCACCCTAAGGCAAAAACCTCTTTAAAAAAACAAACAAACAAACAAAAAAACACCTTATTATGACTTTATGAGTTTGTTCTTTTCTTTTTTTGAGAGATTTTTGCTATAGGGAGAGAGAGGGACAGGAAGGAAGAAATCACCCCTCCCCCAGGGGGAATGCCACACCACCATCCCTTCTCTTCTGTCCTCGGGATCTGGGGCACACACGCACATGTGCCCAGAAGGAGTTTTAAGCCAC